GACGGATCTCGAAACGTCAGGTGAATAAAAGTATTGTCCCAGCGATCAAGTCGTCTTTTTTTCGAGTATCACCATATCCTCCGCTAATTTGGCTACCCTTCCTACAAAAGGAATTAGAACAAAAACACCTCACGTCATCCAAATTTACCAGTTTGTACAAAAGTAACCTAGTCGTATGCACCAGTTACAACTAGTAACTGCTTAATTTATATACGTTGTCGATATAACTCAAAATGCAATGGAAAAAGTTAATCTGTTGTTCAAAGGTCAGACGGGTGGGGTATGTTCTGAATAGTTTCAGATTCAACCTCCCTCATCCAGGGAGGGGGGGGGGGTTGGAGGCGTGCAAATTATATCGCCAGCAGCCGCACAGCAGGTAGTAGTATGGACCGATAGCATTGTCAACCCCGTTTTAAGTCATACGATGATTGGCTTTTCCTGAGAAGGGCCGCATGTTATTAAAGGACTAAGCATCTTCATAGATATTAGGAAATGTAATTGCACTGGTAGTAGAGTTTTAAGCATTTGACTGGCCAGCCAGCAAGGGAAGATTAAAAAAAACCTGCTTCACTGTGATGAAATTGAAAATAGGGTAACAGTAGCTTATGTACTCCCCCTCATTAATCCCTATTCCCAGCATGTTGTCCTACTAAAACGGTAATTATAGACTCCTATGGGAGGGGAATTAGGATACGCAGTGGAATATACTTTGATAACTGCTATATGCATTGTTATTTTATTGTATTTAGAAGTGTTGTTGACTTATACCTGTGAATTTACCTAAGCTGTATTATCGTTTAACGTGTTGCGGGAAAACCCGATTATAAAATTGCGGGTTTCTCGAAATTCATGAAAAGATAAAAATTATTATTAGAAGGTCGTCTACTTCAACTTACCTGATGTCCACCTTACAGTTCTGGAGTAAGATTAGTATAGTGTGCGGCGGTTTCGCTCCCCGGACACCTTCAATTTACATGCAGAACAACTTAATTCCAGAGGCCGCTGGAAACAACTTCGACTACATTTTTTCACTTGACACTTACCACTAAAAATTTCCTTCTCTGCATATCGTATTTTCACACCCAAAAACCCCTTTAACCACCGTTCTCGTAGGACAAAATGCTGAGAGTAGAAATGATTGAGGGGAACTACATAAGCTACTGTTGCCGAAAATAGGATAAGCGAGAGCTAACGTCATCTTTGCACAAAATTCAGCGCATAAAATGTCTCCCAACGTTAAAAATTTCAATTTCTGGTATGAACACCCATTGCCGTAGCTTTGCTTTAACTATTCACACCTGCGAAAAAATTAAGCGATCTTGATGACATTTGACGACCAAAATCTTGGTAGCCAGTGATCGCATTTTGAAATTTGTATTACCGAAAACACACTTTCGCTAAAAAAACGTGTGAAATTCATCGAAGCTATTTCCGAGTCATTTCGTCAGCCAAAACAAATACGATAATCGATTAGCAGCAGGACATTTTCTACTCTAATAAGTGCTTCAGGCAACAATCAAATGAGCACTTGCTCTAACTTAAGTGAGCAATGTATATGCAAACGCGAACAAAGGCTCTTTCGTTCGTGTAAGTCCAGTTAGGCAGCATATAAATATCCATACTCAGTTCACAAATAAGAATGACTTAAGGTTTCCAAATTAGCATTTTGTAAGTATATAGACTTTAGAATAACTGAAATAACATTAACGGGATGAATTTTGTTTTACTACGCAGAAGAACAAAACACCTAAATTAGTGTCTCAGACAGAACTTATCTGGTGTATATATTGATTGTTTTCTTACACGGCGGTGACGAACCTGGAACGTGCGACTATCGTTTTTGACATAGGGCACTCAGGAGCAAACTGATCAACCAAGCCTCCAGAACAGAAGAAGAAGAATCGATCACTGGACCAAGAGGTCTATTGTCCTGACGTTTCAGATTCCCTCGGGAATCCTAAATCATAGGTAATAGTAGAATAGTCCGAGACATGCGCAGTCTGCTCTGTGCGAGCCTCCAGAGCTTACTTGTACTACGGCCACCGTTTGACGTTTCGGCTCGTTCCAGGAAAAAATAACGTATTGACATGGTCAGTGGGTAGGCTATCTTATGTACAGTTTAAACGTCTAAGCTTTGGGCGTTTTTAGATGCTCCGCATAATTGTGTTCTAATGGCAAGCCATAACAAGTAAGCATGTTTCTCAACTAGTTCCTGCAAATACATTAACGAGAAAAAAGGTTACGTGGGCGTGTAAGATTGTTAAGAATAAGTGTAAATATGTGGTCAGTGAATAAGGATGAACTTTAGGTATTTACCGCAAAAATGGCTTGTACCTAAGATTAAGTTATTTTTAAAGTTCGATAAAAGTATCTTAGAAAATAAGGCTATTGTGTTTAATGTAAGTTCCTCCTCTTAACTGCTCACTTGTAGATAATCGCCAGCTAAAACTTTGTTCGAATCGACATTAGCATGTCTACTGACAAGCTTTTAAAATGAAGAAATAGGAATTAAGGTTTTTGGAATAGTAAATAGTGACGCTAGTTGACGTGATGTCTCCGAATTCTGTACATGCTACTCTGCGTTTAGAAAATGTGTGTTCCTGGCTAGAACAAACAACCAAGATGCCGACGTTCGTCTCCAGTAGCTATTCGCCTAATCGTCCAAATGTACGCTTGTTAGGGCAATGCATCTAGAGTATTAATTGCATTATTCTCCTAATGTCACTGTCAGTGCATTTAGGAATAAACAAAACGATTCGTTGCCATTTTATCTTCGAAAATAGCTATGTTTACTTTCATAAACAAGGAAAACTCTAATCACAAAACAATTCGCACTCAGAGCACTCAGGTTTTGCAGACACCCGCGTTTTACAAAAAAATATATTCAAAACCAGCAGAGTGCGCCCTGGTTCACGTTTTTATTTCTTACTGAGAAGGAAATTCACAGACTTTCATGATTTGGATTTGTAGTTTCTCAACAATCAAAAAAGAACAACAGGCCTGCCACCCAGAAAATAATACTAAGAAATAAAAGTTATTCCGGATTCCGTTTTTGCTCCTGTGAAGTTTTGCCCTTTAGCCACTCCTCGTATCGGTAGCGTAAGCGAGCTCCCATAACATTATAAAAAGGTCGTTTTACTAAATTGCTTTCCACGTGCTCGTTTGAAGGCGGAATGCGAGGTCCTGCTTTGGGCTGCATAACTGCACCAGCCTTGTCAATACCCTCGGGAAGCCGAGCCAACATGCACATTATGAGAAAGCAAAGATACACCTGCATGGCTATCCTCCTGACTTGTATCTAAAGGAGAATTTACATAGTTGGAGTATGATAGTAACACATTCTGTCATTAAATTTAAAATATTGTAGTATGGGATCCGAAATGAAAACAAGAGACCAACGTCATGCCCTGATTTTTTTTGATTTTTTTTAATTTGTGTATCGGAATCAACACTCTAGGATGCACACAATCTAGATATGCGCGTTTATTCATGTCTATCAAGTTAACGCGCGTAGGACTTTCATAAAATAAACTCATGAATTCGGCCTTCACCTTGCAGAGCTCACCAGGTTTAAGAAAAAAACGCTCGCCTGGACGTTTTTAATTAATTAGTATGTAAACGAGTTTAGCCCTATTTGTTTTGGTGAACTCACTTAGGTCGGTTATGTTCACTCAGCCGAATTCAATAGCCAAAGAGAGGATATTTAATTAATCGCAAATAAAGTTTTTCAAGATCTCTGAAAATTGCTGCCGCCAGCTAACACCTATATGGTAGAAGAGCAGTCGCACCTTCTTATTCCTTTAAAAATCGAAATAACTAATTCTCTTGGTCTTGACAAAGCACAGTTTTGACGGGCAAAGTGGTTAATGTTTTGGGAACCGAATGTTATTTTCGTTAATTTGCATTTTTCTCTGTTCCTCCTAAGTTATTGAATCTTAAAACTTTTTGAACGCAAAAATATGTTTTAAGACCCTTGGAACGATCAATAAAAGTTTGACATATCATTTTAAAGTTAAAAAATAGTTAAGTGATGTGGCGATATTAGTCAGCGTGGACCTAATCTCAAAGGGATAAATGCGCAAGGACATGTAAGCTTGCTCGAATCCTGGAAAAATAATTCCGGGTTCCTTTTATTATTTATATATCAATTTAAGCAAATCTCGTAGGCGAAAACAGCACGATGAATTTTCGGGTATTTTAAAACTTGCATAGTGTTCGAATGAATGATGAAATGAAAAGGGAATTCGGTCAAAAAAACGCTCGCGTCATTTGTAGAGTGACATACGGCACGTAGAATTATCGAGACTGTTGGCAACTGATAAGGCTAGCCATACCCGCTGAAAGATCTTGTAGGTTTTGGATTACCAGGCCGTACCACGTGGATAGTAAAAGAATGTCTTTAAGAAATGCAGGTTCTATAAAGTTTACTAACTACTAAAGTATTTGAAAATACTTAATGACTTAGAAACTATGAATGCAAGCATAAACGTACCTTATTAATGGTTTTGTCTACTGCATGATCTTACTTCACAACTTTAGACTCTACGGGAGAGCAAGGAAGAGCATGATTGTATCATAGAAGAAGTAAATCTTTGAAGTCCAGTTTAATTTTTATTTGATAGTGTTTTTAAACAGGATGTCTCTGCCAGCAGGGAGAATAACGTTTTCAGCGTTGCATTTGATAGTAACGTGAAATGAGCTTCTAGGAAAAAATGCAGAATTACTTCTATTTTCTGAGATGTTACTATTTGACTCAGATTCCCATGCAAAATCTAGACGTTTTGCAACTTTATCCCAGATAACCCATCAGTTCTTGATCTATGGTAAGATCTAAAATTTAATAAGAGTATATTGAAACCTCACCCCTGCTTTTTCAGCTCTTAATAGTCAATGAGCCTTTGACTGCAAGTGAAGGTTGTCAAGGCTATGTTTTGATCCTTTTTTACCCCTTAGCAACCGAAACGTGGCCGCTTCCTCGGCAAATAAAATCGCATATATATATATAGCTATCATGATAGACTAAAATACTGTCCTTGAACCTACTAACTGGAATGAAGTCAAGTTCACACTTAACAGTCTGTTTGCCTGGACGCCACGTTAATACGTACAAGGTAACCAAGCCAAAGACACAAAAATCAGAAATATAATTATTGCGAAAGAGACTCGAACGTGAAAAGAAGTAATGGTACTGTTTGGAAATCCGAACATATTAGAGAGGTCAATCATTATCATTGGCGCTTGTCCTCTGAACCACGTGGCTTCACTTCACTCGAAATTGTTGAAATGTTTTGAGATTTGCAAATATTCCCATGTTTAATTTGAAAAGTCGATTTGGCAAACATATGTTT